GTTTTAAAGGCGATAAAAATGATGAAACCTGAATTTTATAGAATACTGTTTTCTCATTAACTTAATTCATTAAGTATTCAGATATAACTATTACTTGAAGTTTTGTTCTTTTGATAGAAATAAATTAATATCAGAATGGGTTTTGTGGAGAGTTTAAGAAATTTCACAAGTTGAAATCATGAGTCAGTTGAAGCTAGACCACCATGGAAAACTTGGAAGCGCTGGACGGCCGTTTCGTCCTGGTATGGGACTCCTCAGCAGTGCGCATCCACGATCACGCACCACGCTGGGCTCGAACCCAGGATCTACTGGCTTCGCGCGCGAGCACTTAACCACTAGACCACTGAGCCGGCATCCAACAGTGTTAATGACGAAACGGCCGTCCAGTGCTTCCAGGTTTTCAGTGGTGGTCTAGCTTCAACTGACTCATGATTTCAACTTGTGAAATAAATTAATGTTGATTCAAATTAATTTATAATAAAATTAATAAAACAATTACTATTTAACAACGAAAGGATTATATGATTAATATATTACTATCAGAATGGGTTTTTTGTGGATATTGTAGTAATTTTAATAGTTGAGATCATTAGTCCAGGTTTTCCATGGTGGTTTAGCCTCAGTTGACTTGTGATCTCAACTATTAAAATTAACATATTACTAAATTGATAATAATTACATAGTAATAATTAAATATCTGAACCAAAAACAGATTTCAAATCATGAGTATCACCATCAAAGTGTTTAATCGATCATTTTAGTTTTAAACAACGTGTCATGTTTTATAGTGAACAACAAATACATGTATGATATTTTTAGTAGATTTCATATGATTTAATTGTAAAATTTCACGTATACTAACTTGATGAATATTTCTGTTTTATCACGATCATTGAAATGTAAAATTAAAAGATTCCCCCCTAATTATCCATCTACTCAATAATTTATTTTTTATTGAAATCATGAATTGATTGATGTTAGACCATCATTGAAAACCTGGAAGCACTAGACAGCCATTTCATCCTAGTATGGGACTTCTCAACAGTCTAACATCAATCAGTTAATGATCTCAAAAGAAAATTAACAATCTCCGCAACTCCATACTGATAATCAAAGGAATTGTTATGTAATCATCACACGTTTAATGTACTTGTAACAACGAAAGGATTTTGACAATTTTTTAAGATTAGTTGAATTCTGTAAATATTGCTGATCATTCTATTATACCGCTAAATTCTAATCGATTTACTAGTTTTGTCCTATTTCATATCTTTTTCAGCATCAATTTTAAGCTTAACTATAAAAATAAAAATTCTGATACAACCAAACATCGGTTCAACGAGTATTATTTAATCCGTACAGGCAATTATATTGTACATCAAGTTAAGCCTGAAAAGTTATTGATTAAAACATATCATGAACATAATATCACTGAATTATTAAAAACTATTTAAGATGGTTGATTCGAGTCACAAATGAGTTATTTAACGAATCATATTTTGAATACTTAAACGTATAAATTTCAAAGCAAACATGGAAATGAGTGAACTGGTAAAGTATTGTGGTATTATATCTGCCAAGGTTTTATGTATAAATGATTTATGAGATTATCAAAACTCATGAAATATTAGTAAGACAGCAAATTGTTTTACAAACAATCTCATAAAGTGTCCACGATGTTTATGTGCACATTAATAAATGAAAAAAAAGGCTGGTGTCACTAAAAATTTAATTTTCACAATCATATTCTAATGTGTACCCACATACATACAGTGCGCTAATGCTTATCTGACTCAACAAATATGATATGAGTTGCTTGAAAGTCATCTTTGAATAAACAAAGGAGTAATACGTTTTTCGTGATTCACGCTGCTGACAGAAGTTGTATCAAAAGGAATTACTGTAACTTTGTTCAAACAACGTTCTCTGCTGGACTCCTTATACTCTATTTCACCAATTCAAATCCCTCAAGTACTCTGTTCTAGTATCAGTTTCCAGGGTACTCATACGACCGTTTATAATTGACACTGTTTCTTAAACTTGGCTTAGAAGGCTGAAAGTCTTTATGTCTAACATAATCCTTTTGGTAGTTGTGTGTAGCTTTGTGAAATGTGTGGATTGTTTTTGTTCAAGCTGCTAAAAGAAAGGTTATTCAAATGAATACAATCTGTTCATTCAATGTACCATTAGTAAAAGATCACTGTAATCCTTCTCTCATTAAGTCTACACTTGACGCAATCAGAATCAATCTGATTCAAAATATGAGTGAGGATGTCTACTTTAGATTTGTCACTCAAAAGTGAGAAGCAATTATTATTTAAAATCCTTGTTGGATCCACCTAGCATCCTTTGCCATTAATAGTAATGAAAGTAGATAAGGAATCTAAACGTCACAACAAAATTTTGTATTAATTAATATGAAAATCAGGGAACAAATTAGTGCAAGAACTAAAAACATTTAATATCAAGTCGATTGCGGTAGATCTATTTTATTCTGAAAATGTGGGAAGATCGAAAGGCACGTTTAATTATCGTTGGTCACTTTGGATAGATGAGTATCCCTGGGAACAATTTACACCATATTTTACCAATGTATGATATATTTTAGGGACAAATGTTGTACATAATACCCCATTAATCACTCAAAAACTTCGAATCAACAATGCTTTTTTGAAAATTATACTGAAACGATTAAATTAATCTCTTATTGATTTAGACAACTTTCCTATCAATCCATACACAGAAGATGGAAAATACAGAGCAATTACAGTCGCTGGATATTCAAGAGTAGAGTTTGTTAACTGGCTAAGTGGATTAATCATAGATGAATAAAATAGACAAACTTTTATCAGTTCCAATATGATTTTTAATCGTTCTTGTGCAGAAAATAAAATTTCTTGTTTGAAATTTTAAAAAAGTACATTATAGCTATTTTCTGATGATGATAATAATACAGATTTTACCCTTATTTCGTCATTTTCTTTAAAGATGATCGTAAATTGACTGTGAATTGTAATATACTATGCATGAATCAGTTAGCCGTACAATTATTATAAGCTATCTTCAATATCGAATAAATATTTCAGAAAAGGATAAACCATTTATTTTGAGATGTGCGATTGCGTGATGACTGGTATAACAGTTATTAAACACATTTACGAGTACATTTCATGGACAGTAGTAAATAATAGTGGGCTGAATCAGAAATATTAGAAACAGACGGTCAAAGATTTAACTTCACAATGGAAGGCGTAAATGTAATTGTTTGAGTAGATAGACAAGTATTGTTATCAATTGGAATAGCATGATAATGATAAAATTAATAATCGTAATAATAATAACAAGACTAGTACATTGTATACAGTATTATGGTTGGATCTTATTGATCAAACGGGACAAGAAAAGATATAATTTAAAAATGTGAAATAAGATAGAAAAAGAAGAATGAAAGAGTTTGCAAATACGATGGAAACTATAATCATGATCACTAAAATAATTATATAAACTATTTCTGTCGATACAAATCTTGGATCTTATTCATTTAGCTAACGTTAATGCCATATTAGGTCATATGAGATCCTACTGATAGAATACATAGAAACGAGATCGTAGGTTTCATTTCTTTTTCATAGGAGAGTTGTATGAACTGGTGAATGGGATTCACTAAATGTCTTAAGTAAAATGTCAGATTCCAAATTTTCGTCGCAAATACTCAAATTATCGTTAATATTGTCTCCTGAATGTGCATTCTTGCTAACATCAAGAAGGAGTAACTAAGTAGTGGTCCTAATGGCTACTCTAATGTACTATTGTCTATCTATCAGTAGATCTCATTCAAAATTTAAGTTAAATCTGAGAACGGTTCTTTAGGTAAGATAGATGTACCTACATATAAGGCCTATTCTATCTTTATGCATAACATTCTTAAATAAATACCATAAGCTTGATAAAACATTAATCCTCAATTATTAGTGTAGTCAATAATTTCCAGAGAGTTTCTTAAAGCGTAGTTACAGACATAGGTTCAGTGGCTTAAAAAGTTCAGTTACTCACTTAACGATAGAGTAACACTCTTTTTACCCTCCTTTATGAGTTTTAGGTAAAGTCCTTTAGTGGAAGTATTTAAAATAGTGGTTACTTCCAACTTTTTATATAATTCTGGTTAGATTACCTAGTTAGTTTTACCTTAGCCTAAAACCTATCTAAATTGTCCCCAAGTAATTTTGCTTCCTTACTTTTAGCCATCATGTTTCAAGAACACTTCGGCTAACAGAATTTCCGATATACTACTCAAGTAGCCTCTTCGGTTTGCTAACACAAAATTTACAGCCTTAACCAGTAACATTAGTGAAATATCCCCTTGTTACTTTATTTCATCGAGCTGCCTAAAAAGCCTTACCCATACAATATAAATGTTTTGTTTTCGTCTTCAAATACTGATCTATAAAACAGTAGACTTGAATCCTACGAGAAGGTTGATAAATTCCATATTCTTCAATGAAATTTTTAGACTGTTATATATAATATTTGATTAGAAGACCACATCCTCATTTGATGCTTTTTTAGTGATTGATCTGAGGGCTAAATCTGTATTATGATTGCTTATTTCTCTTAATGAACTTTATGAGCACAGTAGAAAGTTAACAATAAAAACCATTCAATAAAATAACGCCCAATGAACGGAAACTTGAAGTTATTTCTTTAAATGTTTGAATTTTTTGACAAACTAACCCAAAATTAAGTCTTGAATAAACTTCTATTCGTGTGTCTAACTGAGAGTAAACAGTTATTGAACCCCCTAAACCCGGAGTAATGGCCGTTTATAGATTATACATGAATAACATACATAACATGAACAGTTGAAATCGACCATTTTCAATATTCAGAAATAAGATCATAGTGATTTTTTTTTGAAATTTCTTGTTTTATTCACTTACATTAATACATATTACTGACTAAGAGGTTCTATAACTCTCTTAACTACTTAATGTATTATTCAAATGTTACAAATTCAGAGAGGATTGATTATTATTAGCAGTGTGTGTATAATTTACCTCGTCATTATATGGTTATCTAGCATAAAATTAATAGTTCATCATTCTCCATTATATAAAATTAATGAGAATGAATATTTCAAAAATTGCATTAAATCTAAACATTCATGGATTAGATGTACTAAATATTTGAATTTGATAAGTAATCAAAAAATTATCTCTCTCGATTCATATTCTCAACGTTGGCCACCACCTTCTGTTACATACTTAATTGATAAACGCTTACATAGTTTCAATCTTGCATTACATTTTTCACTTGCACATAACGCAACAGATTCTAAGGATGAAGACCTTTACAATAAATTTGCAGATATGGTATCTAACAGCTACAAACAAGAGGAATTATTAACTGGTATGGAACCAGAATACATGGGATCGAATTCAACTGACTACTCTATATTTCCACAAAATTTGAACTTTTCAAAGCTGATCTATGATATACAAAATGCGATTCCAATTCACACGGTGAGTATATATACATATATATACGTTTTTTGTTTTTCATTAGTAGCTAAATTTAGATCGATCAGTGACGAATATCATCTTTAGATAGAAATTCTCTCCATGAAATCCCATCATCTAGGAAATATCACAACTGATAAAAGGAAATACACATTAATCTAATCTAAAGTATAATAGATAACAACTACATTAGATGATTAGTTATTTTGATTATTCTGATATTCTCCACATAAAGTACAAGCTATTTTATCTTTTAGAAACCTATCAATAATCCAGAAATGTTCGCACTCCGGGTTCCTAAATCTGTCTGCAGATCATACAACAATGAGTTAATTCCAAATCTGATAGTAATAATTAAATCATCAGTGTATAACTTCGAAAACCGTGACCGTGCAAGGCGAACATTTATGCAGAAAAGATTATGGCCGAATTTCAGTGTTCAATTTGTATTTGTCCTAGGAATCCCCATGGAAAACGAATCAAATTCCTTCAGATTTGATGGAAATACATATGTCTTGGATACGAAGTGGTGGAGATTTTCTAAACATTATGGAAGTTCCAAGTGGCCGTTTGTAAAACAGTTGTCATTGGAGGCTGATTTATATGATGATTTGTTGATTGGATCATTTCATGATACATATTACAACTTAACAAAGAAGATGATATTTTGTTTAAGATGGCTCTCAGCATTTTGTCCAAAACAAGTCCCTTTATATTTGTTTATAGATGATGACTATGATTTAGTACCAAAGAATGTAATAACATTTTATGATAATAATACTGAAGACTATTTAAGAAATATGAATGGAGGTTACATCCGTTCATCTCGAACCGTTTTCAGACCAATGGTTGATGAAACAAGTAGTGTCTGGGCAATGACTGTAAAGGAATTTCCATGGATATCTTATCCGCCGTACTATCATGGATTGACTTATGTTATTGGTGCAAGCTTGATGCATCGTCTTGCTATCGCAAGTGCTTTTGTTAAAGAAATACGCATTGACGATGCCTATCTAGGGATCTTATTTAATAAATTAAATATAACACTTGTTCATTTGAACATTATTGGCCCTTCTTTAACTAAAAAGGATATTATGTCAGGTGGAATAAATGTACATCATAAAATCAGTAAACGTATAATGAACTGGAGCAGCGGTATGCCAAAATAAATAAACATTTGCTCATTTACTTAACAGGAAAGGTCTGCTCATTTTAGGTGATGAATATGAAGTAAAGACAATTTGTCATTTTGTCATTCATAAATTTGTTAAATGATAATTGATTTTTTTATTATTGATTGACTCTTTTATTGTCAGAATGAGGGTTTATGGAAACTGTAATTTAATGGTTGAATTCATAAGTCGATTTAAGCTAGACCACCTTGGAAAACCTGGAAGCACTGGATGGCCGTTTCGTCCTGCACGCGAGATCTTGGATGAGCGTTTTTGAAGAGTTCCATACCAGAACGAAACGGCCGTCCAGTGTTTCCAGGTTTTCCAGGGTGGTTTAACATAAATCAACCCATAATTTCAACCACTAGATTCCTTTATTGTCGAAATAAATGTATATTGTTTAAAATTTACCTCTAATAACTATTTATAATGTAAGTCAGTGACTTCCTAACTTACATTATTAAAAACTATCTTATCTATATACTTGACTTTAATAATTTTACTTTTGATCCAGGTCTTACTACTTCGTTGAAGACAGTTTTGTTTTTAAAAATCTAACTCTTTAATGAATTATATTTATTTAGACTAGTTAATGTAATAACATTTTTGTAGATTAGTTTGTTTCTTTATGGGTGAGGTTCGTGGAGTATAGCTGGTAATTTATGGTAAAATTAAGAATAGTAAAGATGGGTGTTTAAAGACGCGACAGAATTGTAAAAAATTATAGTAAGTTTTATGAAGTAGGTAAATGTAGATTGATAAAAGATGACATGGTAATATGAATGGTAAAGGAGTAAAAGAATCTTCTGAATTTTAGTTAAGTTTAGAGTGAAGTGAGTAAGAAGAACATGTAAGGTAACGACAAAGGAATAAAGATTAAAATATGAGTGAAAATACAGAAACATAGAGAACCGAATTCTTTATAATTAAAATAACCATTCAAACTCTTCCATTAGACAGAATTAACACCCTCACAATCCAGATGCGATGTACCCGTACAATGTTTCGGTAGATTATGTACGTCATTATGAATCATTTAGAATGATTATACGATTGTAAATGTTAATCAAACATATACTAAAAAAAGAAAGATCTCAAAACAAAAATCAACACAATGCCCAATATATTTGAAACTACCAAGTCAAAGCTTGCTTTTAATACTTAGGAGATTTTGTAGTTCTGCTTTGTTTCTCTGATATAGCTTAGTAACGTGTAGTATTTCAGCAATCTTTATCATCTATCAAGTTTAATATTTTTATCAGGCGAATTGGTAAGAACATATCGCTGGTTAGGGGGAAGAATGTGTTGAAGTTTTGTGAATGTAAACGTTAATATGTAGAAATGAGCAGTCATGTGAAAGTTTTAAAACCCCTTAACTTCACAGCTGTTCTTTCTACTTGATAATTTACAAGAATATCAGCAACATAGACGACAGATACAAGATTTCCATCAGTAAATGTCTCTCTAAGGATTATTAAGTACCTCTCGCTTCATTGTCCTTACTAACTTGGTAAAAATGCCTTGATCGAATTCCTAAGATATGACGTTTTCAGGGATATTTTTATTCCGAGTTTCTTAAGAAATGAGATTGTACATTCGAACGTTTTTAAAACCAGCCAGAGATATGATAACTCACCGATATTTTTTATTACGCTTTAAATCCGTTAAGCGAGTCTTAACCAAATTCACTGACAGAAACTCTCTCGTAATGAACATCAACTTTGAAATGCAGGTACATCCAGATGACGAGAGCCAGATAGGAAAAAATGCGCACCCTGGATTCCACTGCTGGCCGCCATCCATCTCTGCTTATAACTCTCTACACGACTTGAGTCTTCAATTAATTCACAATCTTTCAAAGGTTATACTTTAACTAACATTTTATCCAAAAAATTTAAAATTACGCACTAAATCAAGGTCGTAACACATTGTTTTTAATTCGTTCAAATACTTTAAAACTAACTAGGTAAAGAAATATTCACCAATTTAGTTAAAAATTCAGAATTCAGAAAGGGTTCTTTGATTTGAATGTTAAAATATTTTTGACATAATTAAAACTAACGAATTAAATGGCAAAATTGAGGATGATTGCTACATGAATCCCACAGAATTACTAAAAAAATGGTGTAAGCTAAACACTTCATGTTTAGCTTCATTTCTATTCACAGCATGCTATAACTCACTTTATTCAATTCCTAATCCTCTTAATCTAAAAGATGTACAACTTATTTTTGTCACGATTTATTTCTAAATTTTGGGAAATATTTATGTAACTTGATTTAGTCCTAAATTGATAAAAGTACTAGATATTTTCATTTTGTTTTAATGAACACATTAGAATAATAAACTAATTAATTTCTAACTGAGAATTAATTAGTTAATAAATTTTTCACGATTCAACTAAACTATCTCACGATTATCAACAAATACTGTGTAACACTAACAAAACTGTTATAAAAAAAGGTTACCACTTTATAAATATTATCCAATAATTAGTTTATCGTGACTTTTTTCTATGTTATGGTAAAAGTATACTTTATATATGAATTAAATAGATGTATTATAATAGTTAGTAAATTCAATTAAGGACCGAATATAAACCTACAAAGATTTAGTGAATAAAAAGTCTAAAATCGATAAACTTATAAGAAATAACGAACGTAAATAAATTTGACATTTAAAATTTAAAAAATTAATTAGTTATATTAAAAAGGAAGAATCGATTGATAAAATCTCAGCGAAAGAATTTGAAGTCATTCCAACATTTCGCCTGACAATCTGGTCCAAACTTTTTCAAGGAAAATATAATCAAACAACGGATATTCGATAATTTTGTTGATTGATTATATTTTCCTTGAAAAAGCTTGGACCAGATTGCTAGGCAAAACGTTGGAATTACTTCAAATTCTTTCGCTGAGATTTTACAATTACATTCTCCCTCTTTAATGACTCACATTAACTCGGCATCCAAATATTGTGAAACTATTCGTTCAAATTTAGACGAAAGTTCTTATCTATAATTGGTTATATATTCACTTAAATATATGGTTATAACATTATTTCATTCTAATCTTAACCATTACATATAAACTTTTACCTTACTCATAAATTTTAATCTTCATTCAAACTTCTAACTATTTTAAATTTAAAAAAAAAAAAGAAATTCATTGATACTTATCGAATTTTTTTCTATTCAACTGAAAATTGATTTTATTTTATCAAGGTCATTTCGAATACTTCTCAGGGTCATTAACCAATAAAGCATTTATTTAAATCTTATCATGAAATACACACTTAATATCGATCATTTTGAAGGGAATAAAATTTAATTCATTTGAAAATTTGTATTAAAATACACATAACTTATGTTGTTGTTTTTTTCAAATTTATTTATTAAATATCAACATATGACTCAAAAATATGAATATGAATATAAATTTATTTAAAATTTAAATTCAATAGTTCTCCATTAAAAAATTAATAAAATACCGAATGTATCATTCTGCGGGTAACAATACTTATATATATATATATATATATATATATATATATATATATATATATATATATATTATATATATATATATATATATATATATATATATATATATATATATATATATATATATATATATACAACTTAGGCTAGTTTTAATCATCTATAATTCACCGGAGTTCGACTATAATTTACTATCTTTTAAGTCAGTTTCAATCAGAATTATTTTGTTTGGTATTATACTATCATGTTGTTCCATTGATTTAAGATATTTTCGCTGGATCCCTCTATGACAAAATGAATGGCATAGTTTGAATAATTGAAATCTCTCTCTCGCTCTCTCTCTCTCTCTCTCTATATATATATATATATATATATATATATATATATATATATATAGTTACCCACAGGATTGGCTTCAATTTGTATTCAAATGAAATTATACAAACAATCTATTGAATCTATCATCAAATCAATTTGTATAAAGATAATAAGATTATTAATTAAAATAAGTATTAAATTTAAAAAAATGATATATATTATTTTTATAAATTTACTTTTATTTTATTTAATTATTTATATTTTAAATAGAAATAATTTAAATCATTTAAAATATTTAAAAAATTATACAATATGTTCATATAATAAATTAGAAGAAATAACTTTATCTAAAATAATATGGATAAATTTTATTTATCAATTAAAATTTATTCATTATCATTATGATGATTTAAAACAAATTAAAATAACAAATTTATTTACACATTTTATATTTTTCTACAATCAAAATGATCAAATTCAATACAATAATAATAATACAATATTATTGAATTTAAATATTCATTATAATATTCGTTATGATAATCGTATAATTTATCATTTTAATGATGATTATTCAATAAAAAATGAAAGTTACATTAATCATCTTATATTGACAAAAAATGAAATTGATGAACCGGTAATGGAACATTATCCTAAACAATTTAATGTTACAGAAGTATTACAAGCTATCTCATCTGGTCTTTCATTGAATGAGGTATGTAAAATAAGGGTTATTACTCTATGATTTAGTATTCTCCCTCTTTCTCTCTCTCTCTCTCTCTCTCTCTCTCTCTCTCTCTATATATATATATATATATATATATATATATATATATATATATATATATACAAGATGACCTTATATACATACTGATTGTTTTACCAAAGTGTTGTAAAATGTAGTGAGTTCGTGAAATAAGTTTTCTTCAAAATTTATCAATAGTTTATAAGCTTTACAAAGTGTAGATAATCACAAAAATCAATTATGTCCTCTGAATCATGTTTCGAATTTCATTTTTTCTTTTATTTAGTAAATAAAACAATTTATGTTCTTGATATTTTGCATAGTTTTCGAAAATCTTTATGTTGTTTTTTTTATTTTGTCATAAAGATCTTGTTGTAAGTGATGATAAAACGTAGTATTTACTGCTGGAAATTGAGAGTCAGATGACGGATGTAAGAATGGGAACATGATAGATAAGAATTTACTGGACCATCATGATGGGTCAAATAGATGGATACATAATTTTTTTTATATTTTTTACACTGATTGATAATTAGATCTGTATACATTAATTTGAGTAGTACTTGACATTTTTTAATAAGTAATTTACTATATAAATATGACTACAAAAAATTAATAAAGTAATCCTCTTTGACCAACATATATAATTAACAAAATTACTTTTTTAAATGTGACTAAATATCATGGCCGATTGGAGAAAGTAATTAATATCATGCGTCATTGAAACCGTATGACACTGCCCACCATATCAAAACACTCTACAACCAAAGGGAAATTTTCTATTTGAAGATGAAATTCATATATTTGGTTAGTATTTAAGGAGTGAAACTAACTTACCATTAGTGATTCAAACAAATTATAACAGAATATATATATAATTTCTTTATTTGAAAGCAATTATCATAAAAATCCCCACATGAAGATACACCGTATTACTTATTACTTAAGGTAGTTAGGTTTACAAGCTTTATAATACAATCGGTTATCAATCGCTAAAATATAATATAATTTCATAGCCGAAAAACGATCATTTTAACAAAAATATTAAATAACTATCAACGGAGTAAATTTTATCATTCAACATCCGATGAACAAAATATTTCATTATACTCTAAAACGCACCAAAAGGGTAGTGTTTTAAGCCCATACATTTGATATTGAGCTCGTTACATACAACTTCTAGTAAATATATAAACAGTCTCATCAACAATTTACTAAGATCGGGTAGAAGAAAACAATAAGTTTCACGTTAATTGTGTTTTAATAAATAATTATGTCATAAGAACTTTACAGGCATCTATTTCTGATTATTTAAATTCTATTTGGTGCTGAGTTAAACTAAGAAACTGTTACCATGTATAGCCTTTAACATTTTAAAGCTTTGAAATGTTTGATTTTTCTAAGAAATTAATCAGGATAGTTTGTTTGAGTATCATATTCTTCACTGGTATATTAATGATGCATTCAAGAGGTCTTTTAAGTTGATATACTAATAAACTGATCGTCAACAGTTTCATTTAGATGTATTATTTTATCACTCCTTTCGAATAAACGTTCCGACCCGTGTACTTTCTATTTATCTTTTATTTTAGATACCATGCAACAACAATGACTTAATTGTTATTCGCTTACCAAAACGCACCTGCGATCCTTGTTCTAGAACTAAAAATGTTGATCTTGTGGTGATTGTGAAGTCATGCGTTTATTGTTTTGAACAGCGAGCATTTGCCCGAAAGACTTATATGAATAAAGATTTGTGGAAGAATTTCAGAGTACAGTTCGTGTTTACAGTTGGATTGCCAACACCAAACGAAACAAATACTTACCACTTTGACGGTTTTATGACTACCCTAACTATAGACGCAATGCAATTATCAAGTAAATATGATGTTTCGAAATGGTCAGCAGCCAAGATTTTAAGTAATGAAAGTAAAATACATAATGATATGTTAATAGGTGCTTTTCACGATACATATTTTAATTTGACATCTAAAATGATGTTGTCTTTACGTTGGGCCACGAACTTCTGTATCCCTCAGTCACCGTTATTCTTATTTATTGACGATGACTACCTACTTCATCCAAACAATACGATCAATTTGATAAGGAAATTTAATTATTCTCAAATGAAATCACTTGCGGCTGGATCTGTATATTTTGGGAAAGTTGACAGACCTAAAAACGGATATGGTGGTCGGTGGGCAGTCTCTTACAATGAATACCCATGGGACTACTATCCACGTTATTTCTTAGGAATAGGTTACTTTTTAGGAGCCGATGTTGTGCACGATGCATCGATTGCAATGCCATTCACTAAACAATTTCGAATCGACGATGTATATTTAGGTATTATTTTAAAAAGACTTAACAGAACCCTAACACATTTAGACAACATTCATATTCATCCAGGAAAACATCATTTGAAATCAGGTGCATTTATGATTACTAGATATTTAGCTGAAAATCATGTGGATTGGACGACTGGATTAATAATAAGGAAAAAACGCACAGAGCATTGACCTAATGAAACAAAACTTATAAATTATGTATATGACCGTAAATATTATAAATTAATACATTTCAAATAAAACAATATATGTAATTATTTTTCAATTAGGCAAATATCAGTAAACGATTCATTTGAATAATTTTTACGTTAAAGTGGTAAAGTGAAACGTGTTTATATCATGCGACTCGCTAAATATTTTCATGAGTGACTTTACTATGAATTGAATCAGTAATCTATAAGCTATGCAGCATTTAAAATCAAATCCTGAAAACAAGATGTTCATCTCCAAACAACCAATTCTGAAGTCAAGTTTATCCCATAGTATTAAATGTTTTACTGTGACTAGAGACAGCTAACAATCGGATTCCAATCCAGTCTCTAGGCCGGTTGACAACTCACGAGAGCCAATCAAAGAAATCAGTGCAATAAATTGAAATATTTTAGTAGATTAGTAAAGTTCAACTGAACAAAAAGGGGGATTTAATTTCAGGTACACTTGCTATATTTTGTCCTGCCAAAATAAATATACATGAATTCTTATTATAATCATAGCTAAAGTTGGGAAGCAATTAAGTCAATGAATCGGTTGGTCAAATCCTACAACAAACATCTAAGCACAGATCACTTTTTCATCTAGCTACATCCATACTCTGATTGGTTACTTTTTTATAGCTCAAGATGAGCATTTATTCAACTACCTAAGAGATGCATCCTCTTTGAAAACTGAAATATCTCATCCTTTTATTTGTTACAAATATATGTAGCGATTACTTCAAAAAAAATTAAGAAGTAAAGATCGTTACAATCATACTTTTCTGACAACATTTTGCCATACAGTCATAGCAGCATTTTCTTATTTCTAACAGTCGCCGATTGATCACAATTGTTTACTAAGTTTTCTCACGAACCACAATACTCTGATTTTTAGCATGAAAATAAAGTATATTTCATTTTGGAGAACGAAAAAAACAGAAAAAACAAATTGTGAACGACACAGTTATCTGAAAAAGACGATAAATTAGAGGCGTGGATTCGAAATTCGAACATTCTTTATGGTGTTGTATTTTGTTAGCTGTGTAGTGAACCAATCATTCCCACTCTAAAAAATCACCCAGTACCTCTCCCAAACAGACGTTTGTTTATATGATTGTTCCGAAAAATCCTAGCTACATCACGTGTGAAAACGTGAAAGTACTGGACTCCTAAGCAATAAACATCAACGATCTCGCCACAGAGAATCGAATAAAAACCACTCTACCTCGTTCTCAGACGCTTAACTTATAGACCACTGACTGGTTGTCCAACAGTGTAAACGTCTAAACTTAATCGGTTCACAGAACAGCGGTCATCTTCCATTGATTACAACGTTTAATTGTCTTAAACTCACCGCATCCAGGTATTTAATGATATTCCCGCTAATAGCAATTGGTGAATTAAAATACGAAAATTCTATAATCTTCAAAAGACATTTTTCTGGTGATATTTCACAAGCGTTCAGTCAGTTGATTAAGATTACCTCCTTTCTGATAAATCGTTTTTGTAAAATACTACATTTTCGGGTATCTTTGACTTACAGCTGTGTCTGACTAATATCTAATCATTAGACTCGTAAGCCATTGTAAGCAAACTGATAAACCGAATTCCGATTTATATATCCGATGATCGACAGCCAAAGGGAATAAAGCAAAACTTCAGTTACCTTCTTTGTTTATTTTGATTGAGCATGCGTTCGATTATGATACGTTTACATGCAAACAAGATAGTCACTACTAACCTAAAAATAATCTATAACACAATCGAAATATTTTAGTTCACATAATGTCAGTTATTGAGTACGAGTTATAATACTATCAACAATATATTAGAATTCTCATGAAACGATATAAAACATGGTCAATCAGAGTATATATCGATTTAATATAAACATAACACAACTAGTTGAAAAAGTTGAAGGTGACTCAAGTTTGATGAGAAAAATAAAACAAGAATGATTTGTAAAGGAGCACAATACGAAAATAAAATCTAATCAGTTCAATAATGTGAAATAGATATACGATTTGTTTCATATACGTGAATTGACAGCATCTACCAGAAAACTGTGAAAATTAAGTCTCTATCTGTTCTGATCGAAGTGTTTTGTATTAGATACAAATATGAATGTATGCCGTTTTCGAGGAATTGTTCATGATAATTTCATCGTTATTTTGCACATTTTTGCGCCGTCATTAGTTCTGATTTTGGGCTACTCATATCGTTGATGAAACCACCTGATTAAATATGTTAGTAAAACAATTTCTGAATAGGGAGATGGAAGAAGAACTGTTGATATTTTTGGTTTGGCAAATGTGAAGAACGTTAATGTAATTTTTTTCTGAATTATGCATTAGTCAGGAAAGAGAAATGTATGAATGATATGAAGAGAATAAGCTTGAGCATGTTCAAAGCAATGTGATAAGATTTGACTCTCGTTTTCTACAATCATTTTTCATAGGTTTCCTCGAATTTTTTATGCACTTCTTGTGCCATTATGTTTGATTATTATATCACGTTGTATATTTCTTTGATATTTATTACTTTCAAGCACGCTATTTAAAAAGGATTGTGGTATTTTTCCTCACTGAGTAAATTTTATTGTTTTGATCGTTTATTACGTATCAAGACTACTGTTTACACTTCAATTGAATTTATTTCAGTTAAAGTATCCGATAAGAGTATCGTTATCGTCTCTAAAATAGTTTGTCGTCTTTACTGTTTAGTACTCTGTTGCTATTAATTTTGTCAGCAATTTTGATTCAAACAATTTACAGTTTTCCACATTTTGGTCATCAATTTCTTTTGTCTCTGGGTATTATTGTATCTAGTTTTTTTTCGAAAACCTCTGTATGACGGTTGTACAGTGCAAGAAAAACAATTGTCAACGCCCAGGCGGCCGATTCCCCGATGAAAGCGACATGCAGTGCGACGAGTGTAAAAGATTTTATCACAAAGTTTGCACGAATCTAATGGCTGTCGTTTTTAAACGGTCTAGTAAAAATGGTTGCATGAGGTTTTTTCAGCAGTGCTACTCGTACTCAAACAGCTTGCTAACCGAGGCCATTTTAGTGGTAAATGCTGCCAAGAAGTGTATTAGCAAATGAAGTCGAGACATATCGGACATTACTCGCTCTATCGATACACAAATTGATGTGAAGCCACCTCAAATAAGCTCGATAACAACTGACTCACATGGATCAAGGAAGGAAATAACGACTTCAAAGAGCTTTGCTCTAAATAAAAACTCGAAAACGTGGTTTCCTCTGTCCCCCGTCCTCTTAATGGTGGTCGGCAGGAAATGCCTATAAATTCCAATCGCAAGGCTAAATCTCTTCCTAACAGAAGAAACAACCTGACTGCCTAAGTCGTCGATAACATTCCGGAATCCCACGGTGTGTTTGACCCGACTATGGTTGCTACTCCAACTAAAGTTTATGAATGGATACAGGTCAAGAAGAAGAAACGACACAACGCTATTAAAGAAACCCCCCCCAAAAAAAAAGTAGCTGAAAAATTAAAGACTGATCACAGTGATAGGTCATTTATCTTTCACAGAACCAAGGAGAGTGAAAGCTCAGAACCTAAAACTCGTTTTGAGCATGACATTGGGATGATAAGACAGCTACTGAATCCACCTATGTCTCAGGATATCTCCGGAGTCACCTTGCTAAATGTGTATAGACTAAGCAGCCAAATGAATTCGAAACAGCATCAAACCAGGCTGTTTAAAATAGTATTTAAATCTCCCAATGAACGGGACTTAATATTACCGAATGGACATGAACTGAAGGGTTAAGGAGTTTTTGTCCGTAAGTACTTGCCCCTCGTGGACCGTTTAAAAAGACGTGAAGCCGAAAATGAACTAAAACTTAGGTTAGATGCTGGCAAAAAGGAGCCAAAAATTATAAGTTTTCGGGTGGTGGGACTGGTGAGAGAACAACGCCGAATTCACTATGGGTGCAGCACGAAGCCATTTAAATAGGCTTCGGATCTGTTACACTAATGCCAGAAGCTTACTCAATAAATGATCAGAGTTAGGTGTATAAATTAACTCTACCAAGCCGGATCTTAATCGCAGTTACAGAAACTTGGTTGACACAGTCTATAGACAGTATGGGACTTGGTGTTGAAAATTTCAGGTTAGAAAGACCTGAAAGAATCCAGAAGTGTAAAGGAGGAGTAGCTCTATTCATTAGGAATACTATCACATTTACCACTAATGATAATGTATCCCATGAGAGTGGGACGTATTAATTAGTTAGTTGCCGCTTAAAATGCAACGGACAAGAGCTGTTGATTGGCTCGGTCTACGGCAGTTGAATTTGTGAGGTGAATGAAGTCTTGTTAGGCAGTCTCAATACTTGGTCACAAAGTGGTCGATGTATAATACAGGGAGGCTTTGATACACCCATGGTAGACTGAATTGTCAGAAAATTTCTTCCAGCAGAGCCTAGTTGTTGCGGTTATCACATGTGCCCTAGGACAACATGTGAAAGAAGCGACTAGGCACGACCCGGACTTTGTGTCATCCGTACTAGACCTCATATTGACCCATTACAAGGATGACGTCACGAGCCTCAACTACATGCCACCCCTAGGTAAAAGTGACCATCCAGTTCCATACCGTTGTCAAAAACGAGCACGCATCAGCCCATACCTAACCTAACGTCTGGATTGTAAATATAGAAAATATTATACACTCAGTATCTTCAGTAGATTGGACAATAGAGCTAGAGTACCCAGTTAAAACAGCTTGTGGTGTATTTCGAAATTTGGACCTAAGAGTTACTGCACCCCACATCCCTTGGACTACACCAGGGGGGTTTGATAAACTCTCCACCAAGGTTCAGTAGCGGGATTCTCACCCTTCTCGGCAAGAGAAGAATTTGCGAGAGATTTGGGCCACTGGGTACCGATGAGACAAAATCACAATATCTAGAAGCTCGAAATACTTGTGCCTCGACCCTCCGTAAGTCTA